AAAAAAAATAGATAAATTAGACTTCTTTGCCCAAATTAAAAGCTTTTGCACTGTGAAAGACATAGTTAAAAGAATGAAAAGAAAAAAATACAGACGGGGAGAAAATATTTGGAAAACTCTCCTCTGATAAAGGACTTGATGTGGGAAAGCAACCAACGGTGGGAAAAGAACTCAATCATAAAACGGACGAGAGACTTAAGGCGCACAACCACAGGAGCACACAGGTGGAGGGCAGGTGGAGGTGTTCTTGTCATTGTCAGTAGCCATGAGGGAGATGCTAGCCCCAGGGTACAGTGAGACACCCCCCCACACTGACTGCAGTGTCCAGAAGATGTGATGACGATCTGGTGTGGACACAGAGCAGTGGACTCGCCCATATTGGGGGTGACTACAAAATGGTTCTGCCACTCTAAAAACAACGTGGCAGTTTTYATATGTTCAACATACACCTGTAATGTGGCCCAGCCTCCTATYCCTAGGTATTCACCCTACAGAAATGAGAACTGCAAAACTCTACACAGTGTTTTAATCATGTCTATTTATGTTCACCAGAAATCTAACACTCAAGTCTCCTACATCGGGTGAGTGGACAGATAAACTGTGGTGACAACGGAAAACACCACTCAGTCTCAAAGGGAGCTCATCCTTACACACTCACTGAGATGACTCAGCAGCACTCTAGGGAAAGAAGCCATCACAAGAGATTCCTGCATGTGTGTGACTCAGCCTTTGTCACGTGACAGACCCTGAGAGAGACCACCTAAAGGAGGCCATGTTTGAAGGGTCCATTGTTTCAGAGGGCACCGTCTGYACCTTTGGGCCTCGGTGAGGCAGGACTTCATGGCGGAAGCACATGGTGGAGGAGGCTGCTCACCTAAGGGCAGCCAGGAAGTACGGAGAAGGACGAGATAGACCAGGGCCCCAGGATCCCCTTCAAGGACACACCCTAATGACATCCCCAAAGTTCCTACTGCTTCCCAGGAGTGCCGTCAGCTGGGGACCAGGCCTCCCACACACGAGCTGGCAGGGCCACGTGAGGGCCCTGCCACATTCCATTCACCTGGCATTCTCCAAGACGTAACACTGCRGTGATGGGCAGCTGTGGTGGCCAGGAGCTCAGAGGATCAGGGGTCCAAACCTCTGAAGAAACAGAACTCGAAGTCTCTGGAATGATGGGATGTTCTGTATCCTGGTTGTGGTGGGTTCCACAAATCTATACAGTGTTAAAATTCATAGCAGTTACACCAAAAATGCCAATTTTACTGTATATAAATTTATAAAGATGAATTTTAAATGTACCTGAAAAATTGATCAAATGCTAATCAAGAGGAGGTTGCAGTAGCTATATTAATATCAGATAGCTTGAATTTTAGTTACAGGAGTAAAAAGAGGGAACCTTTTATAATGGTAAAGGGATCAGTTCATCAAGACAACCTAAGTATACTTGCACCTGTTGGCCCTACTAATGTGTATCAAAATACATGACACAAAACCTGASAAACTGCAAGAAGAAGCAGATCCATGATTACAGATGATTCCAGTAATTCACAGAACACATGAAAAATCAACATGGCTACGGAAGACTTGGACTTGGCCTAACAGGTGTTCCAAGAGTACACACATTCTTTGCAAGAATTCATGGAGCATCCCCATGACAGGCCACTGCTGGCCATAACATGAGGCTCAGTAAAAAAAATATTATATTTTCTGGCCAGAACAAAGCTAAACTAAGAATCAACAGAAAGACACCTGGAAAATCCCAATAATCTTACCAAGGGGAATGTTTGACCAGGAGTGCCTAGGGGCCCTGGCTTTGGCCTGGCTTCCCAGAGCTGCGGGTACAGGTATTAAAATTTATAGCAGGAAATGCACTTCCAGGAAACCAGGAAGGAGCCGGCAGGCGCTGAGCTACAGGGGGCAGAGCAGCTATAAATCATTTTCCAGAAAATCAGCCTCTGGCTTAAAGTCCCACCTGACACCGAGAACAGAGGTGCAAACCCAGCCAGAACATGGCTCTTCTCCTCCTGGGGGGGCCTGCATTCTCCCCACTCCTAAGTGGCCAGTTGTGACCACCGCCTTTCTTGCAGGAAGCCACTCAGTGCCTGATGCCTGCCTCTCTGCCCCCTGCCAGAACGGGGGCACCTGTGTGGATGCGGACCAGGGCTACGTGTGCGAGTGCCCGGAAGGCTTCATGGGCCTGGACTGCACGGAGAGTGCGTTGGATTATACCCCAGGGCTGGGGCAGGAGGACCCAGCTCTGCCCGTGGGTAGCAAAAGCAGGGAGGGTCCTTCCATAGGGTGTGCATGCAGGAAGCTCCCGAGAGAARGTGTGTGAGGACGTGTGTGTACACACAGTGGTTGTGGGAGGGTGGCCAGGCAGGGCAGGTGGGAGAGCCCATCTTCTGTGCCCCTACAGTAAGACCCTCTCCCTCCCTGTGGCAGGAATCCCCAGTGACTGTGAGTGCCGCAACGGAGGCAGGTGCCTGGGTACCAACACGACCTTCTGCCAGTGCCCCCCAGGGTTCTTTGGACTCCTGTGTGAATTTGGTAGGTGTCGTGCCGGAGGGGGGGGGCAGTCATCCTGCTCTGTCGAGCATCCCTATCAGCAGGGTCCCTTAACCCTCACTGCCACCCTGTGCGGGAGAGGCGAGTGGCTGCAGAAGTGCTCCACCCTGGTCTCCCTAGCAGGGTCACTGGTCTTGGGCAGCCCCACCCTTGTYGAGGACCTGAGGTCCCCAGGAATACAGGCCCACATGGGAGCATCCTCTTCCTCTCTGCAGAAGTCACAGCCACACCCTGCAACATGAACACCCAGTGCCCAGACGGAGGCTACTGCATGGAGTACGGTGGGAGCTACCTGTGTGTCTGCCACACGGGCCACAATGTCACCCACGGTGAGTGGCTCCAGAAGGGCCTGCGGGGGTCCTGGCCAAAGAGGAGGGGCGGGGTGTCCTGCAGGAGAAGGCAGCACCACGCGGGTAGGGCCAGTGCTGCTGTCTGTCCAGCAGCCCTGCAGGTGGAGGGGCCTCTGGCAACAGCTTTTCCTGCAGTGTGGGCGGCGAGCTCCTGGGMGCGGAGGGAGAAAGACTTTGACCCGGACACAGGCAACACGTGTGGATTCCCTAGCCCCCCCCCCTGCAAATCTGTTGAAACGCTTAGTGCATACATAATTAGGGTATTTGCACTTACTACTATTTATTTGCTAGTGTAAAGATGCTTAACCTCGTGACATAATTCTGCACATATCGAGTTTGCCAGCAGTGATGATTCATGTGTCACAGCTCAGTGCTGCCCCATGAAGAGCGAGGGTGAATTATGCTAAAACCAAGAATGAGAAATTCCAGGGAGGAGCCTTTGAGTCCACAGAATATTTTAAGTGGCCTTGGCTCCAGTCAGGATTCCTAGGCGACCCTGGCAGCACATGCTCTAGGACCGGCCTCTGCGTGCCCTCCCCCCACAGCCCTGCCATCGCCCTGCGACTCAGACCCTTGCTTCAATGGAGGTTCCTGTGACTCCCACGACGACTCCTACACGTGCGAGTGCCCGCGCGGATTCCACGGCCGGCACTGCGAGAAAGGTGCCCCGGGAGGGCGGGGCCTGCGGGGACGCTGCCGGGGGCGGGGCCTGCGGGACGCTGCCGGGGGCGGGGCCTGCGGGGACGCTGCGGGGTCAGCACCCTGGAGAGCGTCTGTGCGCAGGCCAGCGGTTCTATTTCCGAGCATCTTCGGGTTTTTCCTGGGATCACTCTGGGACCTCCCTTGCGATGCTGCTCTGTCGTACTTATCCGGAACAGTGCCTCATTRTTTTGACTGTCTTTTTGTCATTTGTTCTGATCTGCATCCCTCAGAACGGGCTTTATTTYCTTTCTGCTCAGCATTTTTCCAAATAGATCTTAGAATCATTGTATTGAGTTTTTTAAAAAAGCATTTCATTAGGAGTTTGTTAATCCTTACTAAATGTGGAGAATGTAGACATTTTACAGCCTTCATCTCCCAGCATCTCAGGCATCCCTTGGCCAGAGTCCAGTGTGGTCAGGCCTTTTATCCCAGCTCAGGCCTGGGCGTCTCTGGAGAGCCAATACCCTATCTGATCCACCTAGGAGCTTCCCAGACACCTCTGCTGCTCTTCACCTGTCCCTGACAGTGGCCCCTGAGACCCCTCTGGCCTCTCCCACTCCTGCAGCAAGAAAGGGGGTTCACAAGAGCAGGGCCCCTGCTCAGTTCTTTGCCAGACCTGCTGAGCTTTCCTCCTCCATAGGCTCCTGGAACCACGGCCCCCGTCCCGGGCCCTGCCCAGAACTCATCTGCACTCTCCTCCAGCAGCCTACCTCCCGTAAGGGTTGGAGGCCACAGCTCCCAGAGCACGTCCCACCCCTCTCTAGGCCCGGTTCCCAGTACCCAGTATCCCTGCACCATTGTCCCTGTACCCACCTGAGGAACTGCGTAGGCTCCCTTCAGGGGCCCCACTCCTGAGAGCAGAGGAAGCCACAGGTGTGGACAGCCCCCAGGGGGACCCAGGGAGGATTCAGGAGTCTGCTTTCAGAGGTGGGACAGGTAGCTGTGAGGCCTCCCAGGGTAGAGTGGGGGAGAGGAGGGGTGGACTCTGAGGGGTAGGAAGGCCCCCTCTGGCTGTGCCTTCCTGGCAGGATGGCAAGAAATCCAAGGACTCAACTCACTAGGCCCTGTCAAGCTGTGGTGGTCAAGATGGGAGGACAGACAGACAGGTCTGATTGGCAACTGCCATTCAAATCACACCTTTAAAGCACAGGCCTCACAACCTATACTTCAGGAGCCAAGAAAGCACTGGAATCAGAACCCACTGCTGTGGGTGGTGATGTCACATCAATCACAACTCAGCCCCCCGCCCCCCGCTTCAGATGCCAAACAGGAAGGAGGGAGCATCATGTGCTGTGGTGTGGGGCCTGCTCTCCACCAAAGAGCCCACCTGAGGCTCAGCAGGGTCTGCAGACTGCAAGCCCTGCCCCCGTGTATGTCCTGGCTAACTTGGCCTCAGCCGAGAAGCAGGCCTGGCCGGCCAGGGGCAGAARGCACCAGCAGTGGGCTGCCCTGTGCTCACCATCGTCTCTGTCCTTCCACACAGCCCGGCCACACCTGTGCAGCTCAGGGCCCTGTCGGAATGGGGGCACGTGCAAGGAGTCAGGTGGCGAATACCACTGCAGCTGCCCCTACCGCTTCACCGGGAGGCACTGTGAGATCGGTGCGGCCCCAGCATGGAGTAGGGTGGCTGGCAAGCCCTGAACTGGGCCCCATCAGTTGGAATCAGCATGGGAAGAGTGGGAGGGAACCCAACTTCCACCTGAGACCCCAGCCCCCATCCCAGCCACCTGAGTGTGTCTCTCAGGAAAACCATCACGCAGGCTCCCGGTCCTAGGCTGCTAGGGAATTGGGTGGGGGTGAAGGGAAGCATCTAGCCRTGACACCTGACCCTGCTGGGTGCCTTCTGCTTTCAGGGAAACCCGACTCCTGCGCCTCCGGCCCCTGTCACAACGGTGGTACCTGCTTCCACTACATTGGCAAATACAAGTGTGACTGTCCCCCAGGCTTCTCTGGGCGGCACTGTGAGATAGGTAGGGCTGGGAACAGCAGGGAACTCTCCTATGCATATAGGCCCAGTGGGCAGGGCTGGCCTGGGTCCTACAGGAATAGGAGGTGGATCTGGGCTCAGGAGGTAGGACACCCCCATGCATCTGAGAGCCCTTCGGGAGACTTGGTGATGGGAACCCTCCTSCTCTCTTTCAGCCCCCTCCCCCTGCTTCCGGAGCCCATGTCTAAATGGGGGCACCTGTGAGGATCTAGGCACGGATTTCTYCTGTCGCTGCCAAGCAGGGTACACAGGACACCGGTGCCAGGCAGGTGAGCCATCCAGGGGACTGGGCTAGGGGTCATGCCAAGGGTGGGACCGGGCAGAGACGGGAAGGAAAAAAGGAAGGAAACCTCAGAAACTGCCAGTGCCCAAAGTCCAGCACCTTGCTGCAGAAGGGTGCGAGTGGGCCTTCTCAGACCCTGGCCCAGCAGAGGAAGGCAGCTCTGGACAGGCTGCTGTGCTCTTGTTCCTGCAGAGGTGGACTGTGGCCRCCCAGAAGAGGTGAAGCATGCCACCATGCGCTTCAATGGGACTCGCCCGGGCTCGGTGGCTTTGTACACATGCGACCATGGCTACAGCCTGAGTGCCCCCGGCCACACCAGCATCTGCTTGCCACAAGGTGTCTGGAGTCAGCTCCCCCAGTGCTTAGGTGATTTTGTGGGCCCTCAGGGGAGGGTGGATGGGACACACCTCCCACCAGCCAGCTTCCTCCTGTGGAGGGACACAGATCCTTGGCCCAGCCCCACCCAGCTTCCCTGTCTCCTCTCTGTGCATTGAGGATGTGGATCCTGTCAACTTTACCTGGGAACATCCTCACTAAGGGCTTCCCTAGCCTCAGAGTAGCTCAGAACAGAGGGTCAACCACCTATAGGCCCACTCTGCAGGCCCACTCTGCAGATGAAGCCGCCAAGGCCGAGGCGTGGCCAAGTGCAGGGTCCTCAGGAGCAGACCCAGGCTAGGACCTGCCTCGTACTCCCACCCACCCAGACTTGTGGTGTCAGAATATGTGTCAGCACAACATCCCCCACCCCCACCCCACCCCCCACAACACGCAGGGCACGGCAGAGGGCTGCCCCAGAGAGCACTGCCTCTGAGTCCTGCCTGTGTCTGCTCCGGAGCTTAGGGTGCACACCTGGAGGCGGCCTCAAGACGCAGGGGCTCTGACACCATGGCAGGAGTGTTGCACCAAGCCAAGGCATCCAGGCTCTTCCTCCAAAAAGCTGTGTGATGTTTACATGATTTTCATAAAACAAGGATTTCTAAGCCACAAGCTTCGGGCTGGTGGTGACATCATCCAGACAGGAATGGGGCACATAAGCCCATTAATATCTCCCAAATGTCCCCAAAGCCCAACCCACCCTGTGCAGCCCTACCCAGGTGAAGAGCTCTGTGGACTGCCTGGTTCACAACCATCTGTCCTCTACTCCTGACCTCCCAAGGCTCATGCCTGACTGTCAAGAGACCTTTCCAGTGCTGCTTATCCCCAGCTTGTTGCCAAATGAGAGGCCAGTGTCCTCAAGAGAACAGGAGCTCACCAGAAAGACCCTGAGGCCCCCAAGAAGCACAGCCACTCCAGACAGCATGCCCCGGGGGTGGAGGGCACAGAGAGTAGACTAACAGCACAAAATAGCAAGTACACTCTAGATCATGCCTGCTTCATATGGTACAGTACAAACACAGGATCCAAGTCCCACTGTAGAGAGAGAGGCCTCAGTGCTTACTGCCACTGCACTATAAATAGTACAGAGTGRCGCACAAGCTCAACTTGGCGTTGCCCATACAAAACAGGATCAATAGTTTTTAAGGAGAAAGTATAAATAAAAGAATTTAAGACTACAATAGTTGAAATAAACATAATTTAGTAGTGGAAATAGATGAAGAATAAGTTGAAGACAGTTGGAAGAAGAGGGAAAGACTGTGCATCAAAAGGAGGGTGAAGCCCAGTGCCCACCCTGGATAAAGGGACCCAAAAAGAAGAGAGCTGTAATGTGTAGAGAAATATAGACRTACAGAGAAGATGAATACAAGAGAGAAAACTCCTAGCAGCTGTGAGTTAAATTCCCAGGATTACAGAAGAAGGATGAGTTGGAAGGACTCATGGCGCATCCCGCAGGAGGAAAGGGAGCCCAGCCACATCACAGGGAAATGCCAAGGTGCCGTGGGATGATGAGAACATCTGCCCATCTGGAGAGAAGAGCAGGTTACAGAGGAAAAAGAACCAACAGCAGCATCAGAAGTAAGGCCACAGGAGGTGGTTTAAACCCCAAGGGGACACATGGATCATATGGACACTGGCATTCTGGTGTGACTTCTAGGATCATGTCTGCTGACCTGTCCAAGATCTGGGGTGCAAGCCCTTCCAGGTGAGAAAGACTGCAGGTGTGTCTCTCCCCACCATGGGCAGGTGCCTTGGGGAGCAGAGCAGTCCAGCCAGCACTCGATACTGTGGGCAAGCACGGTGGAGCTGAGCACAGGCACAGGGATTCAGGCCCCACTGGCTCTCCCCACATGACCTTCTCAGGTGCACAGCCAGGATCCAAGTCCAGCTCTAGAGAGAGAGGCCTGAGTGTTTGCAGCCACTGCACTGAAGCCACTTGAACGGGTGCTGCAGCCCAAGCCAGCTCTGCTCCTGGGAGCATCAAGGAGAGTGAGAAGCTGCTCAGCCCACCTGCCTCACCCAGGACAGGGCTCGTGCCAGGGAGGAGTGGTCACCCGAGTCTCCACTGGCTTTGTGTGCTGCAGGGCTGAGAAGGAACTCAGGCCCTCACTGTGCTGTGAGCCCCACTCCCAGGCCCTGCTGTTTCTGTCCAAACTGTGTCTGAGAAGCAAGGAATTATGATGGTCATCTAGAAGGAAATAGTCAATCGAAATAGGCCTACATGCGCCCCAGATGTTGGAATTCACAGACAAGGAATTTAAAACGCCACTGTAGCCCAGAAAACAGAGGGGAAAAGAGGTGAAATGAATGAAACAATAGAGAACCCAACCAGGGAAAAGAAAGATTTAAAATGTAACAATATAGAAATTCTAGGACTGAAAGTGCAATCTGAAAGGAAGACTCAGCTGGACTCAAAGCCAGGACCACAAAGCTTCTTCACCTGTGCACCAGAGGGGAGATGACCGAAAGCAAATAATGGAAAGATGAATGSTGAACATCAGGCAGAGATCAGATGTCTGTGGGACAATCACAAACAAGTCCATAACTGGGCCCCGGTAACAGATGACACAGTAGATAAAAGAAATATTCAGAGAGAGAATGATTTTTTTTCTAAAAAATGAAGAAATATGTCAACACAGAGATCCAAGCAGCTCAGCAAATCCCCAAAAGGATAAATATTAAAATAAACTTAAAATCTAAAAATGTGTACCCAATTGGTTGGTTGCAGGCTAAGGAGACAAACAGCAGAGAGGTASAAGATTTGAACTGTTATGCAGGTGAACACCCAAGATAATGCATTCTCTGAACAAGCAAAAAAACTTAGTAGTAACAAGGTATATTTTAAAATCTCCATGCAGATTTGAGCTATTGTATTCTATTCTTTGGTACCAGGGATTAAACCCAGGGGTGTTTTACCACTGAGCCACATCCCCAGCTCCCCCTGCCTGGCCCTTTAATCACTGTTAAGTGACTTATTTTTTAATTTGTTCTTTTCTGTATACACGAAAGYAGAGTACATCTTAACATAYACATASGTGGAGTACAACTTCCCRTTCTTCTGGTTATAAATGATGTGGAGTTACACTGGTCTTGTATYCATACATGGACATAGGAAAGTTATGTCCAATTCATTCCACTATCTTTCTTATTCTCATTTCCCCTCCCTTYCTTTCATTCCCCTTTGTCTAAACCAAAGTACTCTAGTCTTCCCTACCCACCCCCTATTGTGTGTTATCATCCACATATCAGAGAGAACATCTGGACTTTGGTTTCTTGTTTGGGGTTGGCTTATTTCACTTAGCATGATAGTCTCCAATTCCATCCATTTACTACTGGCAAATGCCATRATTTCATTTCTCTTTATGGCTGAGTAATATTCCATTGTGTATACAWCCACATTTTCTTTATCCATTYATCTGTTGAAGGGTACCTAGGTTGGTTCCATAACTTAACTATTATGAATTGAGCTGCTGTAAACATTGATGTGGCTGTGTGACTGTAATATGCTAATTTTAAGTCCTTTGGGTATAAACTCAGGAGTGGGATACCTGGGTCAAATGGTGGTTCCATTCCAAATTTTCTGAGGAATCTCCATACTGCTCTCCAGAGTTGTTGCACCAATTTGCAGTCCCAATGTATACGTGAACAATGTATAAGTGAACCTCTTTCCTCACATCCTTACTAACATTTATAGTTATTCTTGATAAATTGCTACTCTGACTGGAGTGAGATGGAATCTCAGTGATAGTTTTAACCTGCATTTCTCCAATTGCTAGAGATGTTGAACATTTTTTCATATATTTGTTGACCAATCATATTTCTTCTTCTGTAGTGCCTGTTCAGTTCCTTTGTGCATTTACTGATTGGGTTATTTGGGGGTTGGGGGGTGTTTTTGAGTTCTTTATATATCCTGGAGATTAGTGCTCTATCTCCCTAGCCCTTTTGTAAAGTTTATTTTGAGACAGGGTCTCACTGATTTGCTTAGGGCCTCCCTAAATTGCTGAGGCTGGCTTTGAACTCGTGATCCTCCTGCCCCAGGCTCCCAAGTTGCTGAGATTACAGGTGTGAGCCACCATCCCCATATTTTAAATGATGTTTTGAAATAGCTCATGAGCTGGTACCAAAACGAAAACAAAATCTGTATAATTGTGTGGGTAAAATATAGGTAAATATCTTTTTTACTTTTGGGTAAGGAAAGCCACAAAATGCACTATAAAAGAAATGAATGGACTAACTTGTTAATGCAAGAACTAGGAACTTAAGTGAGAAGTGAAATGTCAGCTGGAACCTCAAGAGGGTACAGAGGCACATGCCAGTACACATGCGCACTGATGAGGGGCTGTTTCAAGATGGTGTGAAAAATGCCAATGTGTCCATAGGAGAGAACAATCAACCAGTATGGAAACAGGCAAGACACACAAACAGGCCTATGGTGGAAGAAGAGACACGTAGACAACRAACATAGAAAGTCGACTTCATTAGTAATTAGGAAAATGCAAATCAGAAGTACAACGAGACATTCTGTTGGCAAAATTCTGAAGTCTAAGAAGCCCGTCTTGGTGAGAATGTGGGCCAGCAGTGTTTTGCAGATGGCTGGCGGGATGAGAGGAAGTCAGTATGAGCACTTGGATGTGGTGACTGGCCTGTTGAGCTGACCTCAGCGACCCCACTTGGGGGAAATCTGGAGACACTTGCACATCTACACTGGGGGCAGGTGGGGTACTTGCTGCAGCATCTGCTGTAATTGCCAGAGTCTGGAAACAACACGAGTGTCCACCAGACAAGGAGGGATGAGTCTGAGGTGGTCACACACCACAGAGACCACTGTCAAAATGCTGGGTGGGAAAGAACACACACTGTGACATTCTGCTAGTACAGGTCACAGGCAAAAGCAGAACTGCCCATTGTCTAGCCATTCACAGGGTTTTTAAAAGGCAAAGAAATCATACTTGCAAGCCAGTTCCATGAGGAGGGAGGAAGCCCAAGTGCGAGAGCACAGCGCGCCCAGCTCCCAGGCGGGTGCTGGCTCCGGCCCCCCAGGCCGTTCCTGCTCACTTGCTTTGTAGGTGTTGACATTAGACTTTCCTCAGATGGAACATCTGAACTCAGGAGCACAACTCCCAGTTTCACCATACAGATTCACCACACAGAACCAGATTGGCCTCCAAATACACTGGTTTCACAAACAGGACTGTGGTATACTGAAATGGCAAAATTTGACACGGAACATTTTCTGCCAAACCTCGTGTGTTTTGGACCTATCCAAAATTGGAATTAAGTCCGCAGTGTCTTCCGTGAGCCCTTAAGATGACCACGATCATCCCCATAATTTCATAGCCATGGCCAGGCTCTGAGTCCTGGGGCTTCAACCTGCCCCTCCCTCCAAGGGGCTTGGCCCCTGGTGTGGGCCTTTCCAGGAGCTGCAGGGTGTCCTGGACCCTGAACCCTCGGCACTAGTCTGTGCTCCTCTGAACCTGGCTTAACTGAGGGCAATGGCTTTCTTCTTGGGGTCTCCTCCCTCAGAAGTGGACGAGTGTCGGTCTCAGCCGTGCCTGCATGGGGGCTCCTGCCAGGACCACGCGGCCGGGTACCTGTGCCTCTGCAGCAGAGGCTATGAGGGAGCCCACTGTGAACTGGGTAAGAGACTCCTGGGTGTGACAGTTGGAGGCACTGGGGCCCTGGCACAGCCTCCTTGCCCTAGTCATTCCTCCCCTGGATGGGTCTCTGTCCAGATGGCCAGCTGGGCCACCGCTTGCTCCCCAAGTTCCTGCCAGCTCCAGTGTCCAGGACAGAGATTTGCAGACATCTCTGCCTCCTCCTATCCTGGGGACTCAGAGCTCAACTGAGAGACACTTGCCTGAGGGCAGGCGGGGATGGCCTCACCCCTGTCTGGTGCTGCCAGCTGGCAGAGGTGGGAGGCCTGCCGGAGCGTGGCTGGATGAGCACTATGCCCCTTATGATTCTGACTCTAAGCCCAAACAGAGACACTGGTCCCTAGGAGGAGGGGCAGGCAGTGGAGGTGGCGCACCTAGGAAGGGAGCAAGGGCTCGTGGAGGAAAGGCCAAGATGCAGAGTGGTGACCCTGGGGCTGAAGGCTCCTCCAGGAGCAGCCAGAGTGCCGAGGGACAGGCTGGTGCCTGGACTTTKTCTTCAGAGACAGATGAGTGCAGAGCGTAGCCCTGCAGGGACGGGGCTCCTGCAGGGACCTCCCTGCCACTTGCGAGCTAGTGCTCTGCAGCTTCACTGGAGTGCACTGAGGGACAGGTGGGGGCTCCTGGGAGGGTCCCCAACAGAGCCTGGCCTCTGGAAGATCAGGGTGGTGGGGTCCCGTTCCCTGCTGGACACCCAGGGCGAGTGACGCCAGGGCTGTGGCCACCTGGGGAGGGAAGTTGTGGGGAGGGCTGAGGGGGATTCCCCAGGAGCCCCTTCCACCCCGTGGGCTCCCCACACCCCTCTCTCGGCCTATGCTCCTTCCCCCCTACCCCTTCTTCCTGCTGTCCTCTCCTCCCTCCCCCAGAGCCCCCCCTGCTGCGCGGGCCAACCCTCTGGGTGTTCTCCAGAGGTGGATGCCTGTGACTCCAGCCCCTGCCAGCACGGAGGGAGGTGTGAGAACGGCGGTGGGGCCTACCTGTGCGTCTGCCCCGAGGGCTTCTTCGGTTACCACTGTGAGACAGGTAGGGWGGCAGGCCTGCCTGTGGCCCACTCCCTGGGAGGTCCTCCTCCGTCCTCTGACCTCCTTGGCCCCCAGACGGTGCTTTCCAAGAGCCCCCCCCCCGCCCCCGTGGGTGGCCCTCACCTTCACCATAGTCCTGGTCACCCTGAGCACACACCCCCTCTGTGGCCTCATGTCCAGCCCTGGCCCTGCTGTCTCTGGACAGGCCAAGCTCCTTGTAGCCCAGACCAGACACCCTCTGTCCCTCCCAATTAGCCCACAGCAGGGACCCTCCAGGTGATGCCCTCCCTGGCCCCTGTCTGCAGTAGCCCCACTGACCACCCTCCCCAGCGTTATCTGGAGTGCCTCTCCCTACCTGTGTTGAGTCTCCCCTCCTGCAGGAGCTACAGTGTGGTGGCCCAACTCAGGGCCAGGTGGGRCCTGAGCACCACCATCAGCTCTGGGGAGGCAGGTGCTGTCACTGGGCCAACCCTGCCACACCCATTCCCCTGGGAGCAGCCCAGTTCCCAGGAGCAAGGGGCCCAAGGACACTGGGCCTCATTGCTGTTTCCCACCTCAGTGAGTGACCCCTGCTTCTCTAGCCCCTGTGGGGGCCGCGGCTACTGCTTGGCCATCAATGGGTCCCACAGCTGCACCTGCAAAGTGGGTTTCACAGGCAAGGACTGTGCCAAAGGTGAGCAGTTAGGGGTTCAGAGGGAGAGACAGGGAGCTGGGGTGGGGGCGGCCATCTCCTTCACCAGGGGGCAGGCAGAACGGGCTACTACTTACCCAGGCTCCTCTCCTGAGAAGCAGGGAGAGGGGTGTGACCCTCCAGGAGGCCAGTGCGGGCAGGAGCCAAGGACRGCAGGGGGAGGGCCGAGGGTGAGGCTCCCTGCCACAACACCTTGCTGTCCCGGCCCAGGGTCTGAAAAGGGGTGCCTGACAGGGACAAGGGTTCCTGCAGCAGCTGACCACTCCCTTCTTTTGTGTTTTGGCCCAAACCCTGAAGAGCTCCTTCCACCGACGGCCCTCAGGGTGGAGAGAGTGGAGGAGAGTGGGGTCTCCATCTCCTGGAGCCCACCTGAGGGCCCTGCCACCAGGCAGGTGCTCGATGGCTATGCGGTCACTTACGTCTCCTCCGACGGCTCCTACCGCCGCACGGACTTTGTGGACAGGAGCCGCTCCTCACACCAGCTGAGGGCTCTGGCGGCAGGCCGGGCCTACAACATCTCCGTCTTCTCCGTCAAGCGCAACACCAACAACAAGAACGACATCAGCAGGCCTGCAGCCCTGCTCACCCGCACACGTGAGTGCCCGTCAGGCACGGCCTCCGCCCTACTCAGGGAGTCAGCAGGCAGGGGCCGAGCTTCTCACAGGAGCAGGCGTCAAAGGCAGAGACCAAGGCAAATGCAGGAAAGAACAGGCCCCCAGACTGAGGGCAGGGGGCAGACGGGTACTGAGGGCAGTAGCCCTGCGCGTGCGGGTTTCCAAAGTGAAAGCTGAAGGCTTGGGAGGGTCTGGGTAGGGGACATGGCCAAGGGGAGGGGTTCTGTCCTGTGRGAATGAGGAGTATCTGCTAGGACACACCGGGGAGCCATGTGGCCCCTTCTTCTGGGGGTGTCAGCTCAGAGCACTGATGGCTGTGACTAGTGGAYGAAGCTGTAGAAATGGGCTCTCCACTTGTGGGTGGGTGGATGGAGGGGGACACGAGAGTCTGGGGAGCCAGACAAGGGAAGTCCCAGAGCCCGGGAGGCAGGAGCTTGAGTGGTGGCAGTGATGGACCAACAACACTTGAAAGAGGGGAGGGAGGCTGCAGGCCACTGARGGTGGACAGAGGGAGCCTTCCGGAGCTGTCAAGAAAGGGTGTCAGACAGTGTCCACAAGGAGGGTGTGGCTATCAGGGGAGTGTGACAGTGGGTGTCGAGGTTCAGCTCCCTTGTCTGCTGCTGGGGACCATTCAGGGAGGAAGAGGAGTCCCTGGAACAAGCCCATGGGTGGCTGAGGAGTGGGATCTGCTACAAGGCCGAGGGCTGGCCCTCTACCAGGTGACCAGCATCAGCTTCAACAGGAGGTTTGTGTCCAGATGGGGCCATAGCTGATGTGGGCACTGGCTGTGGAGGCCACACCTGTGTACTTGAGAGGCAGGAGCAGAGAATGGGGAAGGGGTGCTGGAGTCTTAAGGAAGGAGGGAAGGGCTAGGAGCTTGGACCAGGAGGGGTGAGGGTGGTTGTGGTCCAGCATGCAACCGAGCACCTGCTGGAGTTCCTGCCGCTGGCCCAGCAGGCAGTGAGAGCCAGGGACCTGTCTCGTGGACTGTGATGGGTGAGGTGGGAAGCAAAGTGGCAGGAGCTCAGAGGCTCACACCAGGAGGCACAGCTCAGCCCGGCTGGACTCTGGCAAGCAAGGGACAGCCCAAGGTCCTCAGGACACTGTGCCCACAGGACCTATTGTGCAGAAGGTGGCAACCAAGGCCAGAGGTCCCCACACACTGAGGACACAGTACACTCTATTCAGAGGAGGAGCCCTGCAATGCACACTTGGGTGGTCCTGAGCAGGAGGCCAGCAGGGCCACCAGAGGGCTGGTGGTGGGCGAGCTCATCTTGAGCACAGTTGCAGAAAGATGCGCRTGAGCGGCTTCCCAAGATGGAGTCTGCCCTCCAAAGGCACCTGGAAGAGATTTCGTCTCTTCCCTGCCCCCACTGCAGTGGGGTCTCCGCTGGGAGACCAGGGTCCTGTGGGAAGGGCCACTGTCCACGCCACATCCACCAGGCTGGGCACTGTGCCAGGAGCCCTCGAGTCTCTCCTGGCCTCTCAGCAGCAGCTCTCAAGCTTCTGAGGACACAGAAGGTGAGGAGCTGAGCTCCTGAGCTTCCCTCCCTGTGGTCACTGCCCAGACGTTAACTGCTGGACCAAAACAGCACAAAGGAAAGAGACGGTGCCCTGGTCCACTGGGGTCAGGAAGGACCCCCACCCTCACCCCACCCTCTGCACGTCACTGTCACATCTAAAGAGGGAGGCAACTCAGCCTGCCTCTAAGGGCCTGGCTGGCTCAGGGTGCCCACAGTGGGCCCTCCGCAGTGGCCACCCTGGAGGTGAGGAACCTGGGCACCTCCCCTACCCAGAGTCCCTGCTGGGCTGCTGAGGGGACAGTTCTCACCAGTGGCCTCTCTGTGGCCCCAGCACCCTCCCAGCCTGGTCTCAAGCCTCTTCCCCAGAAGCATGAATGTGCTGGTGTCTGCTGAACCATCTGTTGCCCCCAGGCCCCCGCCCYATTGAGGACATAGAGGTCACCAACGTGTCAGCTGATGCCATCTCAGTGCGGTGGGCTCTGCACAGGATCCATCATGCCACCGTCAGTGGAATTCGGGTGTCCATTCTCCACCCTGAAGCCACCGAGGCCCAATCCACCGAGGTGGACAAGAGCGTGGACCGACTCACGTTTGGGTAAGAGGTGGCTCCTGGGGGACACGAGGTCTCCGCTGTTCTGTGTCTGTGCACCTGCTTGTCCCTTGCCTGGGAAGGGCTGGGGCCCGGGAAAGCCTAGCTGGGTTCTGGGACGGCCCCTGCCTTGCTTCCTCACAAGGACATCTCAGGAGCGCCTAACGGAAAGTGCCCAGAGAGCTTCAGGGTCCTGGGGCAGCACCTTGGCTGCCAGAAACCAGTCATAGGGGGTGGGCAGCCAGGTTCCTTCCAGGGTCCCAGGGTCCACCTGCCAGAGGCCAAGTTCTGGACCCCTGCTCCAGCAGTGCTGGGGGAGGCAGAGAAACTGGAGGGGCATCTGGCTGGCAGCTTCCTGTGGCTCCTGTGTCCACAGGGTGAAGGGCATTCCCAGGGAGCAGTGCCCAGCTCAGGGGGCGCGGAGGGGCCGTGCAGAAGGTGAGCACTGCAGGGCAAGCTTGGGGACCATGGCCAGGCCAGGTGGCCTCCAGCAGCCCCACTCCTGGGTGCCCTACCCGGGTACCTTGGAATCACCTGCACTTACGGGCCAAGACCCTTCCCCAGTGTGTGCTCCTTCCCGAGCCAGCAGACAGTCCCGGTGCTCAGACCAGCCTCCTGCTCTCCCCGGCCACTGGTTTCTGCGGAGCCCCTGCTCTGCCCTCCTGGTCACAGGGCTCCCTTCCTCGCTCCACACCCCCTCACTTCTCTCAGCTGCTCCAGGGCTGTCACTTCAGAGTCTTTCTCTAGTAGAGGTAGCCATCTTTTTCAGGGAGTTTCTATTTTGCTTTGAATGTGCCATGTTTCTTGAYATACTCTGATTTTGTGGTGATTGTTGTTGAAACTGAATTTGAATCAAATGACATGGCACCCCTGGAACTGATGTCCCCTCTGTTTTTCCCCAGTGCTGGGACGGAACCCAGGGGCACTGCACGCTGAGTTCCATCCCCTTTTTGTTTTTTGTTTGGAGACAGGGTCTGCCAAGTTGTAGGTCTGGCCTGGACTTGCAGTCTTCCTGCCTCAGCCTCCAGAGCGGCTTGGGTGGCAGGCCTGCGCCACTAGTCAGGGCCCCTGCTCTCTTCATCTGGTTGAGACTCCGGTCTCTGTTGTTTTGTTTGGCTTTGCTGTAAGCCATCCCTGCCAGGACAGCCAGGACCGTCTCTGAGGAGTTACCTTCCCATTTCCCGCCACCAGCAGTGGCTTTCGAATAACCTTGTCCTTGATGTCTGGCTGCCGAGAGGGGAGGAAAAGAACAAGGAGGCAGGAGGGCACTGGCCTTCAAATCACACAGCGCTGTCTCTGTGTCCCACCTCTGAGCAGAAGCAGCATCGTGGTCCCTACTACTGGGGAAAGGATCTTCTGCCTCCTGGCTCCTGTGGGCTGTGTGCGKGGTGACCCAGGAGCACAGGCGAGGCGGGACGGCAAGGCTGCTCTGCTGAGCGCTGAGACTGATGGAGAGCCACCACAGGCTCTAACCCCACCTCCTCAGGAGCTGCAGGCCCTCGTCAAAGTCCAGAGTGACAGGAAAGCGAGGCAGCCTCCCAGGGCTTCCTGCCCCACATCTGCCCAGATCCCTCTCCTGTTCACTGTTTAAATTCCACTGTGATTTCTCTTGATTCACATCCCAGCTTCTTCCAAAGAAGAACCCCATGTGGCTTATGGAAGAAACACAAGCAGGGCCCAGGTGGGCACTTGCTGACTCTGTCCCAGGACTGCCCCCAGCCAGGTTCACCAGGGGGACTGAGCACAGAGTGGCACTGGGAGSTGGGACCCACTCAGAGAAGGGACACAGGGAACATCAGCTCTCTGACCACAGTGTGGCTGCTCTCAGCACAGGACCCTGCTCAGTCCCTCACTAGACCAGACAGTGGAGGGGCTTCCCACCAGAGGAGCACCTAGGACTGCCAGCCACAGTAGGCCCCACCCTTGGTTATCAGAGCTGGCCACAGGCCCTCACATGTCCCTGTCCTCCTCCCCCCGGCAGGGCCCTGCTGCCAGGAAGGAGATACACCGTGTGGGTGGCCACCCTCAGTGGGCCTGGGGGAGCAGAGCAGCCTACAGAGAGCCTGGCCTCAGGGCCACTGCACGTGTGGACACGTAAGTAGGCCAGTGTGGCCTCTGCCCCACAGGCACCTTGGAGAGGACTGCTTCCGGCCAGCCTCCTCAGCCCTCTCCAGAGTGTGCACGGCACTGAGAGCTCAGACCTGGACTCCCTGAGGCCTCTCCACTTAGACCATCAGGAAGGTCCCTGCACCAGGCTGGTCTGGGTCCTCTACTGGGGACATGTCCAATGTTGCCCTCAGCACCTGGCAGCCCCTCCAGGCAGTTTCCCACTGAACACTGACCAGAGAGTACAAGGATGCGCACACAGTCCAGGGCTCCTGGACCATGTGACCAGCCCCCTCTAAGCTCCCTGGTGTCACTGGCCCCCAAGTCCACCCCCAAGTGTGGAGAGCACAACAGCCACTACATGGGGAGGGCAGGTGGGCAGGTGGTGAGTCTGTGAAGGCCTGGCCCAGCAGGGACGACTCTGCCTCCCCAGGCCCTGAGCTGCTGGTCCACTGTCCATGGCCCACCTAGTGGTGGCCCTGGCACTGGGACCCCAGAGGGTGGCGGGTGCGCTGCCTGTGCCTGGTGGCAGCGGTGGGCTCTGACGCCATCTCAGAGCTGCACCTTTGTCCCTAGGCACAGGCCTGGCTTCAGGTGAGGCTTCCGTGACCCTCTCAGACCCTACATGGCGTCCTTGTCAGAGCCCCCCCCACCCTGCCCACCACCTCCTTCTGCTGTCCCTGCCTTGTCCAGGTCCCCTGCYTCCAGCAAACCTCACCGCTTCCCGAGTCACAGCCACCTCTGCCCATGTACTCTGGGACAMCCCCACTCCAGGCACATCGCTGGAGGCATATGTCATCAACGTGACCACAGGCCAGAGCACCAAGAGCCGCTACGTCCCCAACGGGAAGCTGGTGTCCTACACCGTTCGGGATCTGCTGCCAGGGCGGCGGTACCAGCTCTCGGTGACGGCCGTGCAGAGCAGCGAGCAGGGCCAGCTGCACAGCGAGCCCGCACACCTCTACATCATCACGTGTGAGTGTGCGGCCAGGGCCAGAGGGTGTGTGGTCAGCCCCGTGGACACGGTCCTTGTCCAGGAAATGTGGGTGGTCATCAGTCCCCAGGCCCCTCATTGGTCTGGACCACCTAGAAACAGGTCCAGTCTGACACAGAGGAGTCTGCGTGATTGGAGGCGTGTCCTACCTCAGGACTTAGAGGACAGTGACAACAAGCGTAGGAACCCCATCTCGCACAGCTCCTGGGGCAGGTCCCGGGCGGGCTGAGCAGGGAGGAGAGGGAGTCAGCTGCCCCACAGGGGCCACCCAGGCCTAGCCCACAGTCATTTTCGGACACAGCGTGGGAGAGAGCAGCAGGAAGCGCCCTGAGGAGGGTGTGGAGGCTCAGGCACCAGGCCAAGGACCGGGTTTGTTCCCGGTGCGGAGGGTCCTGCCAGGGGCCATGGGCCCCACTTGTCTGGTGCTGTTGTGGGAAGATGGGTTTCTGGGGAGTGCAGGTGCAAGGTGAGACATCAGGGGAACAGGGAGAGAGGGTTGCAGACCCCAGCTTTTCTTAGATCCTCCCTCCGCCTCCCGGGCCCAGGAGATGCTTTGCAAACACAGCACAGGCTGTGAGGTTTCACACCCAGCCCTGCCACCCTGTCTGGCTCTGGGCACAGCTGCCAGGTAGAAAGGGCAGGCCAGCTGTGCACTAGGACCACGCCACAGCCCTGTGGAGGACGGAGGCCCTGGCGGCCTGGAGGTACCTGTGCCTGACCTGAGGTGGGAACCTGGCCTGAGGAGGTGGGTCAGGAGGCAGCTGGGGTCCAGGTCTGGAGCCCAGCATGTCACAGTGCCAACAGGCGGTCCTCCTCAGAGGCTGTGGGGCAAGGGGCTTCTCAGGCCCACACATACCTCTTGCCCCTTCCCCAAGCTTGGCAGTGTGAGCTGCCCCGTCTGCAGAGGGTCAGATGCAGGGGGCAGCGTGGCCACTCCCCTTCCTCCCACCTGCTCTGCAGCCCCCAGAGATGGCAATGACAGACGCTGGCACCAGGGAGGACATCACCCACGGGTGCTCAGAAACAGACCACCCCCAGTGCACCTGCCAGAGCTGCGTCTACTCCACACCCACGGCGCCCCCGGAACACCAACCCCGCCCCCGAGGTACCTGTCYCAGTCACCACCCCAGGGTGCCCAGGGGACACTGCAGCCCTCGTGACCCTCCCACCCTCTGCAGCTTCTCGGAACTTGTGGACGGAAGAAGAAGAGTAAGTGCCAGGTTCGGGGTCCTGCCCAGCACCTCAGCCACCGAGAGACCACGTGAGTGCTACGCTTCCCAGCACCAGCTCAGGGGCAGCTCGAGTGGCCACCCGGCCACTCTCACCCACTCCTTGTCCCACAGTGACAGTGGCAAGGCCTGGTCCTAAAGACCCCCAGTACCCAACCCTGTCTCCAGCCAGGGCCTCAGCCCCAGCCATGAGCAAGGCTCTGGGCCCTGGGGTCAGCACACACTGAACACCATGGAGGGTTGGGCTGGTGGGGTCTCCACATGGTCAGCCTGTGGGCTGGAGGTGCAGGTTGCTGACGTGCCAGAGAAGACATCAGCCATAGGTCTGGGACACTGGGAGCTCTGCTTGTCAAGTGTGGCCTGCAAGTTCTGCTAAGGAGGCTGGGTGCTCTCGTTCTTTGCTACTCAAAACGTGGTCCCTGGACCAGCAGCCTTGCCCGGGAGCTTCCAGAAGGATGGACCCTGCCCAGAACTTCTGGCCACACTATCCTGAAACAAGGGAAACACGTCCCTGTCCCAGGAGTATGCAGCTACCTGGGCCTCTGGGCTCCTGCTCAGGCCTGATGAGCCTCCGCCTCGCCCAGCACCACAGGACCTGGGCACCCCTACAGACCGTCCCTTGGAAGGTTGGCCCAGCAGCAAAGAGGCTTCTGAGCCCAGACGCCCTGTGCTCTTGCCTTCTAGCCCACAGGCGAAGGGGTGTCTAGGAACCTGCCTGAGGCAGGCTTCCCGTATGACTAACTCAGAGCTCCCTGAGATGCTGCAGGACCTGCTGGGTAGAAGAATCCCCATGGGACTCTCCAGCAGACAGCCTCATCACTGGTTCAGTGGGAATCTCCAAGGAGAGGGAGAGGAGGGCAGGGCACGGGGGCCCAAAAGCAGAGGGGCAGCAGAGGGGCCACTGCATGTGGTGAGCCAGGTGAGGGAGAGGCCGGGCCAAGGGCCTGTGGGGGCAGGAAGGTCGGGCTGACCACAGGATCCAGGTGGTGGGCAGGGGAGGTCTGGGGTATAGAGGCAGAGCTTATGGGACTCTAGCCATGGGGACAAATGTAAAATGCTCAGGGGCACAGCGAGAACACTGTACGGAGGGGACATCCCACTGTGGGCCCAGAGCACAGCCGGCAGAGTAGGGCAGACACAGAAGCAGGGGCGGGGGAAGGAGCAGGCAGAGTCTGACCCTAGGAAGRACAGTGCCATCGTGCCAGTCGAAGGAGGGTGAGGCTCCTGGTGGAGCAGTCACTGGCCTTCCCCAGAGCAGCCTGATGGGGCCTGGGAAGTAGGAGCTGGGCCCTGCTGAGGGGCACAAGGAGAGTGGGGCCTGAGCCCATTGGGAGGCAGCTCTGGGGCTGCAGGGCTGGTGCCAGAGCTGGGGAGCCAGGGGTGGATGGGAAGCGGCTCAGAAAGCAGTCCTCTGGGAACCTGCGAGTGAAGCAGGGTGCCATGTGGTCGCCTGGCTTCTCCTAGAACCCACAACCCCAGTGCCACTCGGGAACACAGAAGAGGCCCCCCAGCAGACCCACGTGGTCCTCCAGCTCCCCAAAGACAGCAACAAGGATGCTGAAAGTAAGTTGACAGTGGTGGAGGGGACCTAGAGCTGACTGCTGCTGGGCCCCCAGTGAGGGGTCCACAGGGCCTGCCTAAGGGACAGCCAAGCACCCCACCTGGACAGGGCAGGGCAGACTACACCACCTGGGGTGGTGACTCATCCTGCCACAGACAGCGAGGAGACCAGGGCCTGTGCTAGAAGGGCTGGCCCTGCCTCCAGCAGCTGGCCTTCCCCTCCCCAGGCACCACTGCCTTGCTCCCCCACAGGGGAAGCCCCAGTCGGCAGAGTGAGAAGGGCGGAGGGAGTCACACCGAGCCTCGCTGGTGGGGTGCCTCGCTGGTGGGGTGCCTCGCCGGTGGGGTGCCTCGCCAGCCTGGGCAACATGCGGGCCACACAGGGCCTGGCCTGCGGCTGTGCCTGGTGAAAGCCAGGGCCAAACACCACGCAGGGCAAGGACAGGACAGATGCCAGTTCCTTACACTGACTACCACTCTGCTCCCCCACTTCTGCCCTCTAGGACAGTCCTAGAACCTAGTGGTCCTTTCTCCCCTAGTCACACTATGGACTCAGGTTAGGCTCACCCATCAACCCCACCCCAGAGAAGCAGGTCCTTGATAAAGATGTGGCCTCTGTGGGTGGTCTCACAGCCAGGCCCTGCCCCTGGACACACCTGTTCAGGGCAGCTGCAGCACAGAGGGTGCCTTCCAAGCCTACATCTAGCCCAGCACTGTCCCCTCACCACATGAGGTCTGACAGACTCCTGGGCTGTGAGCACCAGGAGGGCGGGCTTGTGTGTCAGTGGCCAGCAGCGAGGGACACTGTTTTTGATGGAGTAAAGCAAACTTTCCATCACAGGGTTTGTGTATGTCAGCCCTGTAAGTACCAGATGTTCCATTCAGTAAGACCCAGAAATGAGAAGAGCACAAGCTGGCTCATCTGGCTGCCCCCACAGGGCTGCCCCCAGGCCACTGCCATGTGCAATGCTTGTCCTGCTGAGGTGCAGGATGATTCTAAATGGGGAGATGAAAACAGGAGCCCAGGTGTGCAGGACTGGTCACCATCCCTGGTCTACCCTGCACTCTCCTGTGGCCCCTTTATCATTCCCTGTGTGTCCTGATGGGGTTTCTTTGCAAAGACAAGAGCCTTCTCTGGGCTTTGGATAGGGCTGGCTAGACCCTAATGGGCGGTCCAGTGTCCTCACATGCTGCGGAGCATGGCGGCATGGAGCGGGCTCCCGGGTCTCCCCACCCACTCCCTGCACCCAGGCCTGCGGCTTGTGAGTGACTGGCATTGCCAGAGGCGCTGTGGATGCTCCTGACCAGGGTTCCCAGGAGTCCCAMGTCAGGGTTCCTTCTCCACATGCCAAAGAGTAGACACGCTGGATCTTGGTGTGTGAGGACATCAAGCTGTCTTCTAGCAGTGGCGGCTGCCCGTGGGCACTCAAGCAGGGACTGCCAGTCCCCAGCACTGGTCTTGCTGGGTCAGGAAGTCTTATACAGAATACAGATGTGTGTCTAGGTATTACACAGTTTCATATTACTATAAATAGTAGTTTTCAAATTGCATTTCCCAATTATTTATTCTTGGAGTATAGATATTTATTTGGCCTTTACATTGTGACCTCCCACCCCACCATCCTGCCAAACGCTGTGATTCTTATCATAGATTCTTGGGGTTTTCTATATATACAATCATATCACTTAAAGCTTAATTGTCTGCCTTTTAAACTCAGACCTATAACTCACCTGATTGTCCTACTGTCAGCAACAAATCAGGCTGAGCGTAGTGGCACACACCTGTAACTGCTGCAGCTCAGGAGGCTAAGGCAGAAGAATCACAAGTTCAAAGCCAGCCTCAGCAACTTAGTAAGACCCTGTCCCAAATTTTAAAAGAAACCAAAAAACAAAACAAAACAAAAAAATGGCTGGGGATATAGCTCAGTGGTAAAGTGCCTCTGGGTTAAATCTCCAGAACTGCCCCCCCTCAAAAAAAAAAAATAAAAACAGTATAAATAGCTCTTTTTATGGACAACTGTCCTTCCAGAGTCCTTCCCATGCTGCCAATCAAGGGTTCATGCACACGAGTCCATGCTGGCCTGGTCCTCTGATCCACTGGCACTCTCTGAGCCAGCCCACCCTATTTAATATTGGAACCTTACATGTAACTTGCTAGACTCGGCCAGTCTTCCCACCTTGACCTTGGAGAAAGTCTCAGCTATCCCTGACCCTTTACATGTCAGCTGATCAAGTTCTACAAAGCACTTGTGTACCTGAGGTTACGCTCCTGGGCCCCCACATGTGCAGTGCAGTGTGGTGGAAGTGGAGTCCCACGTCAGGGTTCCTTCTCCACTGCCACCCCGGGCCCAGTCCTATTACCTCTGGTMTCCATCATGCTCCTGTTTCTTCGCAAAGCAATTTGCTCCTTCTCTCTCAAAGCTGTTAGACTGATTTCTCAAGAAAAGGAGGACCCCAGAGAGCCCCCACCCACAAAGCACAGTTAATATTCCTAATGAGCTTGCCCTCGCCAAGCAACCATCCTGTCCCGGTGCACCTTCCAGCCTGAGAGGGGACCTCATTGAGAGGAGTTGGGTTCCCAAGACCAGAGCCAGTCACCCTGAGGGTCTGCAGGTGCAGGAGTCAAAGAGTGCTAAGACGGGTCGAATGATCCCCTCCACCCCATTCGCCCCAACTCCACTCGGGGGCTTCTGGTCTGTTCTGACTTTATCACCATGGACACTATCCCAATGGTCTGAATAGATGCCACCAGAAGGACAGGCAGACATTGCCCCTAGGTGACACCAGGCAAAGGACACTGTCCCTAGGTGAAACTGGGCAAGGGCAGGGACTGAACTRCGCTGCTTGGTCATTCGTCCTGCCTGGGAGCAGCTCAGTGCCCAGCCCCCAGGGTACATCCACACCCTGTTCCCTACCCAGTTCAAAGCAGCCTTCTCCCTGTTTGTGTATGAGGGTGTGACAGTAAATTCGGGATCTACTGGAGATGGCCATAGGGAACAGGCTGCAGGGTCAGCTCTGTACCCTCCTGCCTTCTTGTGGCCTCATCAGTCCACAAAGGAATGAGTTCAAGCCTGGTCTCTGTAGTCACACCCGTCCCATTCCAGAGGGTTAGAAATGATGACTGTATGAATTGGACATTAGGTGTCCTCCCAAAAGCTCATTCTAGACAATGCAGGAATGTTTCAGGTGAGATGATTAGATCAAGAGCACTATAAACTCGTCAGTGGGTTAATCTTTTGATGGGTTAATCATTTGAATGKACTACTGGATGTTAACTACAGGCAGAATGGGCGTGGCTGGAAGAAGGTCACTAGGGGTGTGATCTCAGGAACCACATCATGTCCCTGGCTCCTCTCCCTCTGTGTTCCCTGGCTCTGCCATAAGCTCAGCAGCTYTTCTCCAACATGCCCTTCTGTCAAATGGGGGCCCACGTGGTCTGTGGACATCTCATTAAAGCTGCCTCATCTCAGGCCAGAGCACAGAGCTGACCAACCATGGACCGACCTTCTGAAACCATGAGCCAAAATAAACCTTACCTCCTCTAAGTTGTTTTTATCAGGTATTTTGGTCTCAGCAATGAAAACCTGACTAACACAATGACACAAGCTTGTAGATTCTTAATACCCTGCACACTGCCATATTCTGTAGGGCTGCTGTAAAATCTCTCTAGACAATTGTGTATAGTGTCTAAAATTCAAATGGAATTGCAAGGGAAGGAGGGAGGGAGGGAGGGCGAGAAGGAAGGAGGAAGGGAGGAAAGGAACGAAGGAAGATAGAGCTGAAAGATTTAGAAAGTAGAAGGACTCCATTTCTAATGTCAAAGCTGACTGTGAAGCCGCAGAATCAAGTCACTGTGGTCCTGCTTCATGGTGAGCACTTAGGTCCATGCTCCTTCACGTGGAGGTGAAGCAGACCCTCACCTCACACCGATGACCTAAGGCCCTAAGTCACACAGGATGGAGCCATGGTTAGAGTTACAATCGAAACTCTTGGTAGAGTGGGTGGGGGTGATGGTGCTGGGGACTGATTAGAGCAAATTATATTCCATACTTTAATAATTATGTCAAAATGAACCCTAATGTTATGTATAATTTAAAAAGAACCAATAAAAATWAAAAAATCAAAACTCTTAGAAGAAAACAGGAATAAATCTTCACCTTAGTTCTGGCAGAGGATTCTTAGATAAAACACCAAACATATAACAACAAAAGGAAAACAGGACTTCATCAAAAATCCAAGGCTTTTGTGCTTCAAAGATCACCACCAAGAAAGTGGAAGAGACGCACAGAATGGGTAAACAAGGGACGTGTATCTAAAGTACATCAAGAACCCAGTTTAAAATGAGCAAAGAAAATGAAGGAACACTTCTCCAAGGAATGCACATAAATCACCAGTAGGCACAGGAAAAGACACCTCATGTCCCTCACCAGAGGACAGCTGGCCCCAGAACAGCAAGCACTGGCAAGGGTGTGGACATGGCACCGGCTGGCCACTGCCAGGAGGCCAGTGCTGTGGCTCYTCAGAGGAGTCAACCAGAGGGACCACACGGCCAGCAAGCCCACTGACACCTGCCCCCAGGAGAAATGGACACTGCACGCACACGAGGCTCACCCGTGGATGGACACAGCAGCAGCAGCACCACCACCACCACAGGCAGAAACACCCATGCCTGAGGGTTGCTGGAGGGAGACCCCCCAYGGCACCACTCCAATCAGAGGACAGCTGAGGTGACAGGCACACAGCGCTGCTACACACCACCACCTGGGTGTGTCTGGAGACAYGCTGAGTGGAGGGCCAGCTACAAAAGACCACGTGCCAAAGGCTCCCACTTGCAGCCAAGTCCAGAAGGAGAGACTGTGAAGACACAAAGCCGCTCAGGGGCTGCTTAGGACAGGGTGGAGGCTCAAGGTGGACAGGGGGAGCTAAAAGCCATACCTTMTTTCTGGAGGGGACTGACTATGGTGACAAGGAACTGCACATGTCAAATGGGGGCCCATGTGGTCTGTGGACATCTCATTAAAGGTGCTGTAAAGCCATAGGCTGCAGTGTGTTTGGTGTGCTGTCGTCCGGGAAACAAGAGGGGAATATGAATACATGTTTTTATTATGTTTAGGAAGAAAACTAACAAAGAGGGTGAGCTATTCATGGAAGGAAAGAGCAGGGAAAGGATGGACAGAGTCTAATCTTCTCTGAATATATCGACCTTGTTGCATAGTTTTGACTTTTGAACCAAGAAAAATATTTTTAAACAACAAAAAAGAAAAGGCAGGGGGCTGGGGCTGGGGCTGAGTGGTAGAGCACTTCCCTAGCAGATGTGAGGCCCTGGAAATACCAGAATACACCCACGACTTGTTTATTTTTTAAAACTCTAATTTCCTTGTCCTAGTCACTGGAAAGCCTGAGACAGAGGCAGCTCAGGAGTGATGATCTCTYAGAACACCTGACTGTGGGTCCAAACCCATCTCCTTGGAGGAAGAGGCTCTGGAGAAATGGCTGATTCCAAGACTGCAGCAGGATGTGGACAAAAGTGACCAGGCACAAACCGTCAGGCAACAAGCGCACATCCAAAGTCAACAGGCACCTTGCCAGGGGCCAAAGAGCCAGCCTGAAAGGGTTCCCCTGCCCAAGACAGGACGGCTTGAGCACCAAGAAACGTGACAGCACCAGCCAGAAGCAACAGCGGCATCCAGAGCTGAGTACACCAACACTCAGGAGGAAAGACTCGCCAGTCAGCATGGACACAGCCTCAGTCTTCCAYGCTAGAGAGTTCCTGGTGACTGGTCATGCAGAGCACTGCAGTCTACGTACAGACAAGCAGCAGAGGGAAGACAGGGTTGAGCACTGGCCCTTCTTGCAGGTGTGCACCTTCATCTCAGTCCTCAGGGYGGTGAGGAAAGCACATCCCTGCAGGCCCCTGGCAAGCTGGTAAAGGCAGGAGCCACAGCCAGTGCAGACAGGGCTATCTGGCTTAGGAGGACCTGGGTCTGWCGCGCGCCACTCAAGTGGGACTTGGCACCTGGCTGGCCTCCTACATGTCCAAGGATGACAAGCACCCTGCGGAACAGTCCTGCCAAGGGCATGGAACCTGAGTCCCCTTGCGCCCTTCTCTGATGAAGAGAGTTTGTGGGGTGAAGAACAAGTTGGTCCACTAAAAGCAGTAGGTCAGATCCAGGAGGGCACTTGAGGGAAATGGCCTTGCTTCTTTTAACAGAGGTAGAAGACCAGGGGTGCAGATGGAGACCCGAGACATATCAGGCACAGGCAGCAGGCAGGCCCTCACAAACCCTYGTCTGTTAGCCCAGCTGTAAGTGGCACTTTAAGGTGGACACAGCCTCAGTCTTCCACGCTAGAGAGTTCCTGGTGACTGGCCATGCAGAGCACTGCAGTCTACGTACAGACACTGCTGGCTGTCCACAGGAGAAAGGGGACATAAGAACGGCCCTGCAGTTACTCAGGGTAACAGACGAGTGTGAAGCGGAGGGGCCCAAGCTGAGCGCCTGGGGTCAGTCTGGAAAGTTCATGATGAAGGTGTTTTTAAGCCCACAATTCATTTTAAGTACATCAAGAAGGACAAGAGGAAGGCCCAGAAGACAGCAGGGGGAGGGAAGAAGGCAAAGTGGATCCAATGGGGATGGAGGAGGGGCAGTGACCTGCAGGGCAGCAAGGTCTTCCCACGGCCATGAACCATGGGATTGGAACTTGGAGAAGCCTTTGAGGAACATGCTGCAAGTGGTGGCAGGTGGGGCTCCATTAGAAGGTGCGATGGAGACTGAGACTCCTTCAGGACCAGACATGGGGGAAGGCCAGTTCTTACTCTTTTGTGCTTTAAGTTAAAATAAAATAACAGGTGTCTTTAAAAATAATGWCAAGAATGGGGCCAGAATGTATTCAGGGATGGAGGCSAGGCCAGGCCAGGCCAGCTCCTCCCAGGCAGCACTGCTGACCACCTTGGCCTCCACTACAGCAAGATGCGACGTGCTAGGAGGTGGGCAGCCACCACTCACAGGGGCACAGGTGCCAGTTCTGCACACAGGGCTGTCTGGGGCTGGGGATGTGGTGGAGAAGTCTCTGCCAACTGGGGGCAGACACTCAGAGACAAAAGGGTCTTGAGTTCCGGGCAGAAGCAGCCGTGTGTAGGGGTGAAAGCAGAACAAGCCGCAAGCCAGGTGGCTCACCAGGAGGCCGTGGGCTCTCTCCTCCCTGCTCCCTGAGTCATGAGGTCAGGGCCAGCACACCGAGGCCCATGTTCCCTTCTCTGCTGTCTGTGTCACGAGCCCACAGCAGCAGGGCACAGAAGGCCACAGCAGGAGGGAAAAGCCTGTCAYGGCTGCCCTCGAGCACCCAGTCAGGTGCCAGCAGGCTCCCTAGGATTGGGGGCTGACCTCTCCTGGTCTCTGTTTCCAGGCGCCCCTGAGAGCTGCTCAGAAGGTGCCTGTCAGAATGGAGGCACCTGTGTGCCAGGTGCGGATGCCCACCACTGTGACTGCGGGCCAGGCTTTAAAGGCAGGCGCTGTGAGCTCGGTAAGTCAGGGCTGGCCACCCAGCTGGGAACTGGCCTCCAGGCGCCTCTTACAGCAGTTGTCACCAGGCCCTGGCAGGCTGGGCACAGGTGGCTTTGTCCCAGGCCTTCCAAATTGAAGGGCCAGAACAGAGGCCTAGAGCATCTAGGAACAGAGGCTGACAGGCAAGGAAACCGAGGAATGATCTGTGAGTCCCAGGGTGAAAGGTAGCCCTTGGCTGCAGGGGCTGAGAAAAGTCAAGAACGGCAGCCMTAAGCAGCGGCCGTGCCACAGTGGGGTGAGGCTGCAGGAGACAAGAGAGTCCACGGGAGGGACATAGGCTCCTTTGGACTGAGTGTCCAGGTTGGGGGCAGAACCCCCTACACCACTATACTAGCCTGCAGGCTACGAGGTCACCCCAGCCAGGGCAGTCTCTGCAGATGCTGGGCARCCCTGGGAGGAGGTCACTATCCCAGGGGGAAGCTGGCACAGATCCCCAGGCCCAACAGGGTCTGAGAAAAGCTGCCTGGGTCTCCCTCGGGCARGGGTCTCTCGCGAGGGCAGGAAGAGAGTTCCTGTGGCATGGAGCCTCCTCCTAAGCCTCTGCCCTTCTCCTTTGTGCCGGCAGCCTGTAAAAAGGTGCCCCGCCCCTGCACTCGACTGTTCTCGGAGACAAAGTCCTTTCCAGTCTGGGAGGGAGCCGTCTGCCACCACGTGTAAGTTGGCTTCCGATGATGCTGACAGGGTCTTCACTTTCCAGAGTGCTGTCTTACTAACCCCGAGGGACGGAGGCTGCAGAAGACACTGGCTTGGATGGCTCATGTCCACCACATAGCAAACCAGGGGCTTGAGCAGAGGAATGGGCCTAGGCCCCTGCGGCTCAGGAACAGTGGCTGAGAAGAGCTGGTCCCTGCCTCTCAAGCCCTTGGCTCTCCTCTGCACCCCTAGGCCCCAGTGGACAGAGGGCCCTAGGCCCAAGGATTCCAGGACCTGACCTCCCTCTCTTCATCACAGTCCCTGGAAAACAAATRGCACATGGTGACTTTGAGTCCAGCACTGCCACTGACTCATGATGTGGTCTTAGACAAGTCACCCATGTCTCCGTTTCCTCATTTGTAAAGCAGGCTGTGGAGGGACAGTTGCCTCATTCATCTCTTGGGACCTCCCCCAAAATCCTGTGACTCTAGGTGGTACTCAGTCATTTAGGCACACCCTGACAGCACTGTTGTGTGCCAGGGTGCTGCAGGCACAGTCCACCAGGGACATGGGCATTCAGGCTGACAGGGTGCTGCAGGCACAGCCCACCAGGGACATGGGCATTGGTGCCATGCAGTCACAGAAGGTGGTGAGTGCTAAGGAGGGAAGGGAGAGAGGAAGTGAGGCTAGGGGAGCCAGGTGAAGGCCATGCTACATCAGACAGGTGACTAAGGTGGGCCTCAGGGATGAGGTGACACTGAGCAGAGGTGGAGGCAGTGGGAAGGAAGAAGGTTCCTGAAGGAGCATCCCTTTCTGGCCCTGCATCACGTATGCCTGGCATGTCTGAGGACAGCAGAGGAGTGACGCGAGGACACCCCATAAGGATGGTGGTGTGGGTTGTCCATGAAGTGAGGAGTGACTGAAGGTCACTCAGCAGAGGAGGGACATGTGACAGCGCTTCATAGACTGCTCTGGAGGCTCCACAGAGGAGGAGAGGTGGCAGCCAGGGCAGAGAGCTCTGTTGGAGCTGGACGTGAAACCAGGCTGAGGACAGAACAGAGGCAGTACCAAGCTGCAGGGCACAGAGGCTGTGTGACGCCACTGACCTGGACTCTGTGGGGACAGTCCCCAGCTGCTGGACTGGGCTGGTCCCAACATTGCCTGCAGCCTTGTCATGTCCCCAGCATGCCTACAGRAAAGCCTTCATTCCCAAAGGCCTTCTGCCCTTTCATTGGGAACCTGCCTGTACCTCTGAAGTGACCTTGTATTGAACATACGGCAGCCTTGCTTCACATCCAGGGTGACATCTCTGCTTTCTGTCACTGTTCAGACCATTCAYATCATTCTCAGATAATGGCGATGTGGCTGTTGGCTACTTTTTTCTATGTATCCCATCTGTTCTGCATGACTTTTTCTTCTTTCCCTCCTAGTTCAGGATTAACTGTTCAGGGCTTGCTGGTCCCTCCTCTTTGGCTCATTGTTACTCAGGAGTTGCTGCAAGGTTTTCAATATGCACCTTCAACAAGCCAGGACCTGCCTTTCCTGTCTGTCGCCAATGGGCAGCTTAGGGGAGACTCCTGCAACTGTCACCTTTGAATCACCCTCAGCCTCTTCCTTCACACACACCACCAACTGCCAACGCCGATGCTGCTCTCAGCACTGTTTTCCACATGCTGAGTGAGTCCTCTACAGCCAGGGCACACCCACCAGCCCAGCTCACCGTCCCCTGCATCACGCCCTCAGCCTAAACAATGGGACTCTTCTTACAGCACAGGTCTGCTGGTGACCAATTCTCTGCTTGTTTGTCTGAAATGGTTATTTCACCTTTTTTTCTGAAGAAATGTGGTTAGATACAGAATTACTGTTTGATACAATTTTTCCTCCAGCACTTTACCTGCAGAGACACGGCCCCTCACTGGCCCCACTCCACGCAATGTGTCCTACCCCCTGGCTCTTTCGCACTCTCTCGAGGACTGTCTTTGGCCAACCTGATGATGTGGCTCTCGGTGTGCACTCTCTGGAACTGTTAAGCTCTTGCATCTCGGGTGTTCACTTCTGTCACATCTGGAATGGGTGGACCCCGCTTCTCTGTGCATTCTTCCTGCCCCTCACTTCTCTCCTGTTGGGACAGTGCTGGGCTGGTGCTGTCACCACATTCTTCCCATTGTTCAGACGTGCCACCTCTGCAGTCAGGGCCATCGACTTTGCTTCTGCATCACCCACACAGCTGTGTGCAACTCTAGAAATTCCACTCGGCTCCTGCTCTGGCCCACCACCACTCTCTGCATCRTGAGAAGCTTTTCCTTTAGATCATAAACACACGGCACAAACTCAGATCTGTCTTCAGGGCCGTTTCTGGTCTTTTTCTGTTCAATTCTTTTTCTCCAGGATAGGGGTCATTTTTTTTTTTAGTTCTTCGCATGATTCTTTGAACGTCTTATGAATTTTCATAGAATGCTGAACATTAAAAAGGTGCCAAACTGTCTCACGTTTGTATTTCTTTTCAAGAGTACTTTCTCTGCAAGGCAGTTCTGGTATGATTTGGTCTTCCTGAGGCTTGCTGTGGAGCAGCTTTGTCCTGGCATGGTTTCACCCTTCTCCGCTTTGGCTCTCAGGAGTGACCGGCTCCTAGGTGGACTTGCCCAGCTTCATGGGTACTCTGGCCACACAAAGTGTGACCCTGAGTTGAGCCTGAACCTATCTGCAACTCTGCCCTAGCCCTGCTGCCGGCCAACATACAGGTGACCCTGTGCCTGTCTCCCTCTTCCCAGGCTTGCTGTTTCCTTCCTGTGTCTGTCCAGCTCTCTGGGAGTTCCTTCCACAGCTGGCCACTCTCTGGAGGCCAGAGTGGAAGTCTTACCAAGGCTACAGACTGGTGTGGGCTGCAGCTTTGCCCACACCAGCGCTGCAGCTCCTGAGGCCTCTTCTAAAGGGCTCTCACACTAAACACCTTCCCCTCCTATCATCTTCAGAGTCCTGTGACAAGAGGTGGCATAAGTCTCCYAAGGACACAAAATGGGTGCGACAGAGTCAAAGAAGCCTGATCAAGGCGCCCTGGCTAATAATGGGAGAGGAGGCAGAAACCAAGTCTCTGGCCCTCCACTGCTGCCTCTGCAGCCTGCAGCCCAGGTGGCTTGGCCTTCTCCCCAAAGTCTAGCAGAGCGGGAGGGTCAGAGCCCAGGGACAGGGCCAAGGGGCCTGCCCCTCGCAGTCATTATGTTGGAACTCATTTCACTTCCGGTGCCACGTGGCTTTGCCAGCAGTTGTGAAGTGCACTCTGAAACGGTATACCTCACATGTCAACTGTGTTCAGTACAGCTGATCTTAAATCACATGGCTTCTGCGTTGGGCACTTTAACACACCCACAGGCAGCCTCTAGTCAGGAAACAGTGGTCTTTCCCTCAAACACCTCTGCACTCACAGGTGGTCCACCGCCCAAGGAGGTGGGCAGCACACTCTTCGGCATCCAGTTTCACAGAATTTTCTTGTGACAACAGGTACAAAAGAGTCTACAAAGTTCACCAAGATGTCTGCTTCAAAGAGCACTGTGAGAGTACCAGCCTCAAGAAGCCCCATACAGGTAACCCGGGCCCAACCTCTGTCCTGCATACGGCTCGCAGGGTGATGGGCAGGGGTGGTGCCATGCACCTGAGACTGTGTGTGGGTGAGATCTGGGCACACACACAGGCACAGTGGGCATGGTGAGTGCGGGTGTCACTCAGCTCCTGCAGGAGYGAGACGCTCCGGGGAGAAGCATAGAGCACTCCTGGCAGGCCAAGTGCACAACAACAGAAACAGAAAAGACCTTCTTAACCTTTGCTCATTTACACCCAGGTTCCATCCCCAAAGGGTTCAAGGTGCTCACAAGTACTCTTTGGGGTTTTACTGAAAGAAGTGCCTGAGAACATTATATGTTTTCAAATCAGAGCCCCAATCTCAGTCTCATTCTTCAAGACCCACTGTGGCCCCACACCTTTGCTGGCTTGGCCGAGGACTAAGCCCAGGCGCTRCTCAGCCTGAGTATGAGGCCTCACCCCGAGGCCACTCCTGCTTCCTCCTGCCCACCCCCCCACTCTCCACGCCCTCCCCAGCTAGGCTGTGTCCTCTCCTTCCATAGCCACGGCTCCAGACAGGGGCAGGGAACACATGAGCAAGAGGGCAGAGTGAGGCAGGACTAGGGGCACAGAAGTCTCCTTCTCATTAAGCCCTTTCTTAGTTGTTTCAGGAAACAAAGTGACCGTCAAACACTGAAGAAACAAAAGGTACCATTCCCCTGTGCCCTGAGAGCTGCTGGGAAGAGGGAGAGGAGCCCGCCTACCCTGGGCCTCTGGGAGCGCTGCCACTCCCTAGGCCCTGCTAAGCCTCAGGCCAGGTGGCTTCAGGATGCCCTGACTCAGGCCTCCCAGCAGACCCAAACTCATCTCCAGGAGGAAGAGAGGCTCTGGGGTGAGGGCATATCCTGCCTTCTCTCAAGGGAACATGGAGCAGCTGCCACAGGGGCTCACAGAAAGCTGGAAGACCACCCGGCACCTGGAGGGAGGAGACTGCATGGAGGGAGGGCCTGAGGTGCTGAGGAATTCTGGGGAAACCCCAGAATGGTATTATACTGGAAGCTAAAATGGAGGCCTTAGTCARGAAACATTTGGCAAGTCCTGAAGACGGTCTCCGACCAGGATGGTCACATGAGACACTGGAATTCTAAGCATCGTGAACTCTGGGATGGAAGAAATTTYACCTTTGTTCAATCCAGTATTTCCCAAACTCTTTTGGCAAACAAACCCCACCCAAGCCGTGTCTCCCTCCAYGCCACTCTGCTGGTTCTTACGGAGCACTGGCACTCTTCGCAACACTGTGAGACACCGGGCCACACGAGACCCCATGAAGCTCTCGGCCCCACCTCTCCAGGAGCCCACAGAGCCTGCCTTCCTAGCACTGGGGACAGGGAGGCTCTGTGGTCATGGGCCCTTTCAGGTCCTGACTTCTGGGCTGAGAAAASAGAACTCTAAAAAGCCAAGGAGCATTCCAGCTGGCTCACACACTGAGGGAAAGACAAGCTCCCCGGGCCCCCAGGAGACCTCAAAAGCAGCAGGGTCCCATCTCAAATGGGACTTCTCTCTGCGAAAGCAGCCGACAGTGCTGGGCTCCTTCCACTCTGGGCACCACCTCCCCTGCTGACTCTGCCTCTAAGGACACACGGACAGACAGTCGAGGGCTTGCAGGCAGTCCAACCCTGGTGAGGTCAAGAGCCCACATACACCATCTGGGTGGGAAATATCTGCATGGCAGTAAGTCTCCTGAAATATTATGCATCTTTTTAAAAGCTCACCTAGCAAACCCATTTCCATAGAAACAAATGAGAAACCCCCAGCTAATGATGGATCACCAGCTGTGGAGCACACCTGTTCTTACTACACGCTGGGGCAAACACAAGCAGGAAACAGGAGCACACCACTCAGACGCCGCCAGGAACCACATGGAGACTCCTTCAACACAGAGCAGCCTGGTCGGGGCCCAGTGGAGGTGGGTGGAGGGGCAGCCACCTGCTGGTGCCAGTCTAAGAACCCAGTGCCCGCTCAGGTTCCCAGGGTGGGCACAGGTCCTCCCCCACTCCAGGCCCTGCCTCCCTGCACTCAGGCCAGGCTTGGGCTCAAAGGGCAGCGGAGAGGGCATGCTTGGTGCTCTTCTCATGTCTGCATCTGTTGGTCCTTCAGAGGACTTGGGATGAGYTCACTGCACTCCACCCACCTTAGGATTTTCCAAAACCTAGGAAGATGAGCTCTAATAACTGGATTGAAAAGGATACAGAAACAGGCCCTGGATGGGTCAGTTCCCTTTGTGACCTCTGGCCAGGCCTGTACACACACCAGCCCCCAAGAGTCACTGAAGCACCTACGATCTAGCGCAGGCTATGGCATCCCTGAGCATGGTCTATCCTCCACACAGCTGGCCTAGCGGGGCCGTTAACATCACTTCCGCAGTGCTTAGAAACCAGCCCTCAGATTCCAGTGTGAGAAAGGTCTCCCGAACCAGGAGGAGGACAGACTTCTACCACAGACGTGGGCAGTGGGAAAGTGGAGACARGGTGAATCCTCCTACCTGCTGCACATCATTCATGCTGCACATGGTCCATGCATTTGGAGGTGGAAGTGTTCAATACTACTAAAATGGAGCTTGGACAGTTTCAGGCTGCACTGTGATGGCAGACTCTTTGTGCAGGGCAGTGAACGCTTCTGGCTTGCCGATCAGAGGCTCTGTGGCCACTGCTCAGCTCTGCCCCTGCAGCATAGCCATGGATGTGCAGCTGAATGTGCGTGGCTGTGCTTCCCTGAAGCTCCACTCAAAAGAACAGTCACAGGGTGGACCTCTGATCTGTGAGGTCACCCAGGCTTTGGCCTCATGTAGTGGAAGCCATCCCCTGGGTGACAAGTCACCACCAAGGCTCCAAAGACCCACAGAAGACTTACACAGGAAAAAAAAAAAAACCCTCCTCAGAAAGCCAAGGCACACCACCATGCAGCAGCAGGGTCTTCTCGCCAGTCTGAAGGTAACAGAGGAACGCTCTGGGCAGGCTGCGCGAGACCACATGCAGGGGGCCTTTTAGACCTCTGGGGCCTCCAGGTAGAAACACAGCCTGCCACACATCACAGAGCACGTGTGCGCCCCAGCACCGCCCCACACAGCTGTCTTCTCCCTGCAGTGTGGGCACAACTGGAGCAGTCAGGCCCCCTTTCTCAGTGGAGGACAGCCACTCACACAACTAGAAATGGAGCACAGTCACATCATGGCAGAGGCCTCCCTCCTCCTGGGGTCTATAAAAGCATTCTTTGAAGAGGTGCATTTTAGATTTAACTGAAAAGTGTGCACAGCTGTACACTATGAAGTTTGCTGTTTTCAGAAGGGAGGAAGAATGATTCCAGAAAAACCCTACTGTGCCCTGCAAACATCCAAGGACAGATGGCCCCAGACACAGTYAGTCAGAAGCCAGTCCACAGACATGCAGGCTGACCTCCACTGTAGCACCAGGCCCATCACTGTCCTCTACATGACACCCCAGATCACTAGGAAATAGTAGGACCAAGGTCACCCCACCATAGGAGATGAGACTTTCTCCACCGCCAGCCAGCCATGACCTGGACCCGGGTGTTAGCTCAGAGTCTGTTTCAACAAGAGACAGAGCAGGATGCTGTGCTGTCACACTGTCAACCCACACTGAGGCCACACAGGTGGAGTGTCTGGTAAAAGAATGTCCCAGTACTGAGGGGTTACAGTCCACCCAGACATCCCAGGGAGTGGCCACTGCTGTTCTAAAATGTCCTTCTTAAGACTAACATCTTCCTCAGAAACACTTCAAGTCCATCTCAGCAAAGGTCACATGGAACCAGAACAAGGAAATCCGAATGCCGAGGTCACCGTCTGCCACCAGCACTTGGGATGAGTGGCCCTCTAATCACACTCAGGCCACCGTCTGCCACCAGCACTCGGGATGAGTGGCCCTCTAATCACACTCAGGCCACCGTCTGCCA